CCCCCTTTTTAAACCTGGGGGGGGGAAAGGGGGGGGGGGGGGGGTGACTTGCTGCCTTGTTTCTGTGGGATTTCAGCTCCCCTATGCTTTCTGTTTACACCAGGGTGGGGGCAACTGAATGCTGTTCCCCACCCATGCTGGGTGGAAGTTCTCCATCTCCTTCATGCTGGTGGGGGTGGAGGCTCAGGGCCCTCCCACCCCCTAATGCCACCCTGAAAAGGGGAATCAGGTGGCACTGCATCCATGGTCGGGGAGGGGAGCAGAGTGTGGAGATGAGCAGTCCCTGCAGCACTTGAGTGGCAAGGCCTGGAATCATCTCTCCTGCTTCTGCCCCTCGGGCTGGGGAACCAGCAATGTGCCCAGCCTGCCGATACCCCACCCCGTGGTGGCATCAGCACCAGCACTGCACTGGGCAGAGCACGACTGAAAAATCCACTGCGCCCCTGCCATCCTGAAACCACAGGTGCGGGCTTGGGCTGGAGTCAGGCAGGTGTGGCCAGGCCCCTTCCCCGTCCTTTGGCTGGAAGAACAGGCTGCTCCTGGGGCTTTGTCTCTCGGTGCCCGTTGGGGCCCCAGGTGAGGCCTCCGCAGTGCTGCAGGGCCCTGGGTGTGGGGGCAATGAAACAGGACTCCAGCCCTGGGTGCCCAGGCAGCCCTCCGTGCTCTTTCCTCGTCGGTGTTTGCTGCTTGTGTTGTGTCCAGGGCTTTTAGTACTAAAGGGAGGTCCTGGGGGCCTGAATGGAACTAGAAATCTCTCTTGTAACTGAGTGGCAGTGATGGGCTGTGGCTGCAAAGTACTAAGAATTTTAGAAATCACCTCTTTCACCCTCTTTACTTTGTAGAATTATAGACTGGGCATCGGAAAGAGATGTAGCCGTAACCCTAGCCACTCTTCGCAAATAATAACTGCAGTGTCTGTCGTGGTGACCCCCACGTGTGGCCCTGGAGCTGTGCCCATGGGCTGTGCACCGTGCTGCTCGCAAACACAGGTCCTCAAAACGTCATAGTAGCTCAAGTCCGATGCCATGTGCTACAGGGCACCTTCTTGTTAAAGAGAATAGTAAGCCCCATGGCGCTCCATGTTTGGACTGTATGGCAGGAAAAAGATTACTCATCCCTGGATGTGTTTTATATGTTGGGGGGTGGGGGTTAGATTTGGAGATAGGCGTGCACTGTGATTGCCTGCTCCTGACTGCCTTGCAAACCACGGAAGTGGAGCTCTTACCAGGGCCAGTCTCCTCGCGGCCCTGGTGTCTGCTCACCCTGCCTGTGCAGGGAGGGGACTCCCCGTGGACCACCCCCCTCCCTGCCCCTGAGTCACCCCCACACCAGTCTCCATTCCTTCTTTGCTAAGGTCAGCCTCGGTTTCTAACAGTCGTTACGTGACAATTTCCAGCCTCTCTCACCTCTGGTCACTGTCCTCAGTCGTTTGCTTGCTCCGTGGCTGGGACCTGTGCTGGGGCATGTGGCCTAAGACTGCTTTCCTTCTCTGCAGAGGTCTTGTTGACACAAACCTAACCTCTGTCTTAAAGACCGGCACTTGGTCCTGTGCTGTGCTGGGTGCAGGCTGTAGGCACAGAGCTAGCCACTAGCTCTCAGGCCCTGCTCTGCAGACACTGCAGTGCACCTGACCTTTCTTTGCCAAAACTGCAGAAAAGGGCTCATCATGGCATCGCTTATACCAGCCAAACAGCTGCGGACAGCCTTACTGGTCTGGGAACATCCCTAAATCGCTCCTCCTCTGAGGAATGGTAGTGCCATGTTAATGGTGTTTATGAGCACAGTGACATGCGGAAATGCTCCTGGCATAATGTTAAGTTGAAAAGCTTACACATTTGTTGATGATATCCTTGGTCTTAGTCCTCTGGTGCTGTAACAGAAATACGACACTGGGGGCTTACACAGCATTTATCTCAGGGTTCTGGAAGCTTGGAGTCTGAGATTGGGTGCCCATGTGGCTGGGTTCTGGTGGCGGCCACCTTCTCCCTGTGTCCTCACAGGAAGGGGAGAGCAGGCGGGTTCTTCACCCTCTTATCAGGCACTAATCCCAGTGTGGGGGCCGCACCCTCGTGACCTAATCACCTTGGGTCTTAGATTTCAACATCGGAGTTAGAGGAGGACACAGGCCTTTAGTCCATAACACAGTTTTAAAGTTTTCAAGCGTAACAAAAAGCTTAGGAGGAAACGATATCAAAGTGTTAATAGTGAATGGTTTTGCATTCAAGTTACAGGTGTTTTTTTCTTTGTGTACCTTTTTGTATTTGCAAAATCATCATTAGTATTTATAATGGAACAAATATAACAAATGTATATTTTAAATGTTGCTCTCCATTAATCTTTACTCTGGGCATGCCCAGCAGTGTCAGCGTGGCACCTGTGTCTTATTTGTGTGGTTCACTGACTGCCACGGCCTTTATGTTGGCAAAGATTTCATCCAGGTGAGGTCGAGCTCTCGGCCCATCCCCAGAATTGCTGTGGCTGGATGTTAGTCCCCTAATCTACTCTTTGGGACCTGCTTTTTATCGTAGCAAAGTGAGTATTTTGTTGTGAAACACCTCCATTTGATGGGGTCCCAGGTGGATTCTGCCCCCGGGACCTCGGCTGCCTTCCCTGCAGGGTCTGGATGGGATCCTGGCCGTCCCTCCGACCGCCGAGCCACGTGGGCAGACCTGCGAGTCTCTGAGCTTCCGTGTCCTCGTCTATCAAGTGAGGACGGAGAGTTTACCTCCGAGGTCACGGGGAGCTTCGCGTACACTGATGGGAAGAAGGCATGTGGTGGAACTCAGTCACACATTTCTCCTTGCTCCTCATGACCGGTCCCACCTAGGAGGGTCAGTACCTTGGCAGTGATGACATGCTCTCCTTCCCACAGCAAGGAGTACAGGAAGCTCACAGGAAAGGCAGTTCGTCTGGAAATGCTACCATAATTCTCACCCCCATGTCCCAAAACAAACAAGCAAGAAGGAAGGAAGTCTTCTAGAAACTGGCCTGGTGGGGGTGGAAGGGGGTCCCAGCGACCCCTAACCTGCCAGGGAATCACATGTCACCCTGAGCAGAACCCTGCTTCAGTGGGAAATTTGGGGCCATGGAGCAACACCTGGAAATGCGAGCCCTGGCACACGTGGAGCACCTGTGGAACGCCGCCCACGTGACGTGGCAGAAACTCCACTCTAGAGTCGAGATGTGTATTTGGAGGAGGTCTAGAGACAAGACACAGGCTCAACTACTTTTCCCTGCAATCAAGAGTGCAGCTGTCTTCACCATGAGGCAGATGGTTGCTTGTTGATTGCATGTTAGAAACACTCTTTGCTTGAATACAGTCAGGAGT